TTTTCGTCAAATAATAAAATATAAATTAAATAAACAAGACAAGTACTCATTAAGAAGGAATAAAAAATTTCAATACAAAATTTTTATATACAAAAGAAAATAGCTTTTCAAGAAGTATTATCTAATTTAAGAAGGAACAAAATTGTTCTACCAAGAAACACGAAAATATGTAGGTATTTTTTATTTTGTTTAGAGACATGATTATTTAGTTAAAAAACTAAATGGAAGGTTTAGAGATAGGTCATTGAATTCTCTGTCCTTTATATTCAGTAAACAAAAATTACTTGTATATCGTAAAAACTGTGAACAGGCGTATGAAGATTAGGAGCAAGATCAAATGAAAGTAACTACCATACAGTTTTGTGCTTACAAGTTAGGAAAATCATTCAATTGATAATATTGCTAAAACTTATGTTGCGGAAAGCAAATTCTTGTGGTGCTAAAATAATGAATTTTCATCTGCAACATTGCACTGTTTTATTTTATCTTGCAGATTTTAAGGTGAGTTTAACTTTTTAATTATAACTTGTAGATATGACATACTTTTATTTTCTATTTTACATGTAAACATAGTTACTCTATGAGGTGGGAAGAAATTAAAAGTATTAAACATGCGATCTAGAGTTTAGAGAGAACAAATGAGTCATGCTCACTAAAATAGAATCTAAGATTTTCTCTTGTGTTTATTTATTTACTATACTTTTATGTAATATCTATTTATAATACCCATCGATATGACTTGTCTCTTCATGTTTCAGTTTCGATTAAGGTCAATTTTTTTTAATTTTTTTGGATTTTATATTATTTGTTTTAATTAAATTAGAATGTTAACATTTTTCTTCTTTTTCCATCGTACCTTTTAAGTAAAAATTAAACAGTATAAGCAAATTATATAGCATAATTGTCCATAACAAAGAAAGTGAATCAACATGGATATGCTTACAAAATAAGAGAAGAGGATAAGAAAGAACAGAAATAATCACCATAAAGTGGATTGATTATCTTTTGCAGGTAAATATATAATTTATGTTGAAAGAATATAAAAATAGTTGAAATTCTTCCTAACGCGTATGAAAAAGACTACCATGAAGTAAGAAAAAAACTTATGGAAATGGAAGGAATATATCTTTTAAATATCATAGCTTATTCTTTGTAATCACTGTAATAATTAAATTAATTTCTAATAATATTATTACTGTAGACATTTAGAAATAAAAAAAAAAATTAGCCACTAATGCTATCATTATAATAGAATAGTAAAAGAAAACGTTGCAAATTTGTTTTAGGAGGGGCATAATTTTTATCATATTATATTTTTATTGTAGATAGAAATATTATAAAGTCTTACCCTTTGATAAATGAAACTTCTTATTTCCTATAATTGTTGTAGAACTTTTTTTTTTGAGCAAAAGAAACCAAACGTGTTCGCACAAGAATTTGACTTTCTACGCTAAAAATGACTAATATTTTTTCATACTTTTACAACATATGCTCACGGCTCAATCCCTAATATTGAATTATTTGTCTTAACATGATTTCCCATTTGGGTAGTAACAAAAAAGAGGAAATGTATACTTAGGACATCATTTTTAAATTAAAAATTATTAAGAGGATATAATTCTAATCTTTTGTACCTCATAAAATAAATATAATATAATAAAAATAACAGTAACGAACCTTAAATTTTATACGATTGGCGAGTAATATCGTGCAACGCATGTTTGCTCGGAGTTCTACAAATATATTGGATATCAATGAACTGTTTGGTGAAAAAGTAATCCATCATATTAAATTCGTTTAAACTATAATACATAATTATCTAACTAACATGATTAAATTGATCATTTGTGTAAGTTCTGATGATGTCCTTTTATTTTGAATTTACGTATTATGCTAATGTAATAATATTTTTTACCATTTAGATGATTGTTGTATTATTATACATAAAATTTCTTTTATTAATTAAATTTTATTATTCCTTCATATAAATAAATGTTTAAACCATCACGTGCTATTATTAACGTGCAACGCACGTTCATAAATACTAGTTATTATAAAAGCATGAATATAATGTTGGTTTACCAAAGTATCCTTAGGATATTAATTGGCAAATAATACCTTGTAGGGTAAAACTGATATTTTAAACTATGCTTAATACTACGATTTTCATGGACTTCTAATAAATCAAATTGAGTTTCTCGGCTATTTGAGATACTTTATGTATACCGACTTTTGCACCCTTTAACCAAACATATTATGATTCTTTCAAATATCCAATGGAATAAAACATAACTAACAATATGATGAAGTATTTTACAAGATGAGGAAAACAGAAGAGAATCTTTTTCTTCTAAAGATTAAAATATGGCACGCATTATGATGCTCCTGGAATTTTTATTTTTAGCTTAATATTTTCTCTAAAATTAAGTTGATTCTTTAATTAGCTTATTTATATTCTTGTGCAAAATATTATTATGAATATTGAAATAAAAATTTTAGTCTTACTTTTAATTTTTGCCAATGCCAAGAATGTTGTTTGTTGTTTATTACACAGTAAATTTTCTCAAGAAGAGTGCCAAAAACTTTAAGTTTGTACCATATAATATGTCAGTATCTATTGGTTTTACATGCAAAAATATTTTTTATTTTTAAATTGGAGATTTGAAACGTGAAAGTCAATAATATGGTAACGAATTCTAAAATTATCAAAAGTCTCACTACAGAAGGATACGAAAACCCTATTATAAAAGAACATGAAGGCTAAATGTTACTTACACCATTCTTAACATAAATTTGTACGATATTTTGGTAAACAGAAAAAATAGATTTTTAAATAAATTCTACTTCCGAATTTAAAGAAATAAATCGATCAAATTTAAATAAATTTAATGCAGTTTAAATTTGAATACAATTTAGTCCCGCTTTCTCTAAATTTGATGAAGTACCTTCTCCTGTTGAATAATAAAATGCTCGCAGGCTATATTATAGAATATTTTGTGTCTTTCTTTTTTCTATTGATATCGATTTGGATTATATCCTTGAACAACTGATTTGGGCGGTACTTATATCATTGATATAAATTAAATTGTGTGATATTTACGTGTTGCTTCGACTTCTTCCACCATCATATGGAAAAATTTTCTGCGTCTACAAAGTAGAATATTTTCCAACATTTATAATTATAATTTTCTGCACCATGAGTGCTCTCATATTTGGTTTAAATTATTTTTAGATGTACATAGTTACTTGGTATAATTTTTATTAGTACATTTATACAAACCCCAAGATTCAAGTAGGATAATAACATATAGATATACGGAAATTCATATTATTTTCTTTCCCTTTAAATATTGAACTATCTTTCTAAACATATTGGATAAAAATTATAATATTTATAACTTTTCAAACATTTAGGAATTTGAATTCAATTAGAATTTTATATTCATGGAAACTACTATCTTTTAGCTACTCAAACAAATTTCCATAAGGATTAAAAAAGCAAAGAACGTGACTTTAATTCGTTGGGAGAAAAAACTTTAATTTATTAATTTTAAGAGACTTTTTTTAATTGAGACTAACGTCATGTACTAATACACAAAATAGAAAAATAAGTATTTAAAAACTTTTTAGTTCATATATAGTTTATGAAAACATTATTTCCTTAACGCAAGCAAGTTCCAATTACAATTGTAGTCAAGTTTAGAAAGATAAATAGCCTAAAAAAGGCAAAGTTATAGGACTTATTAATAGCCTTTGGCCAAAAATATTTTTTTATCTAAAGTTAAGATGTTAAAAAGTACTTTTGAGTTAAAGCAAAAACAGTTTTTAAGAAGTACAAAAAAAAAATAACTTCTCCCCAAAAGTATTTTTTTGAAAAGTATTTTTGAGAAAAAAATACATTTAGAAACACTTTTTAAATAATTGAGTCAAACACCAATTGCTGCTCAAAAGTGTTATTCAAATTAATTAGCCAAACATAAATTGTTTCTCACCAAAATTAATTTTCTTTTAGAAACTTTTCAAAATAAATTGATTTTAGAAGCTTGGTCAAACGGACTATTATTAATGATTTTTTTTTACCTTAAGGATTTTGAATAGGATTTATGTCATATATATTGGTAGTGCATTTTTATAATCTATTCTGAAAAACGAGCTAATACCATATAAATTTTAAATTAAAAAATAAACAAAGTCGTGAGATTACCCGTGCTTAAAGTTGCTCGACTTACGGAACATCAAGTGCTATGATCATAAGAATAACATTTATGTAATTTCTCAAAGTAAAATAAATTCTTAAGGTGAATTTATTAATCGAGACAAACCATTGAACATCGATTTCATTGAGAACATAATATAGTAATATAACATGCCAAAATTCAAATCTTAAGTATCACATAAAGGAGAAAAAGTACAAAAAAAAGAGCGACGATCAATTAATAAGAAGAATATTAAAAGTAACACGTATAGAAAATCCAAAAAACTTCTTCTCCTTTGTGTAGTAAGAAGTCACAACATGAAGCAAGTATCAGAACAAATTTGAATAAAAAGCGTCACATTTCAGGATCTTTCAGCAAGTTCTTATTATGGTTTGATACCAGGTCTTCTCATATGCTTCTAGAAATCTTTTCCATTTTGTTATTACCTAAATATTTGTCTATAATAATTGACGGGTAATAATGTGCAAGACACATTCATAGAGACTAGTACGTAAAAAAAAGATTGAGAATGATTTGAAAATAAATTAATTTTGCTATCTAAACGTAAATTTATGAACCTTTTACAAAAAGACGGAAGTAGAATTTCACACAATATCCTCATTACTGCACGTCAAATTAGGTAATGGGCCAACTAATTTATACAGAGATGGAAGCAAAAAACGAGATTTATCCAGAAACTTCTGGACATCTGTCTGTCTTCCTTGGGTTAGAGAAATATCGAAGCGGAAAGAAATATCGGGAAACTACTTGACAATCCTCGAAGCACACACCTATAAATACCCATCGGCTCCTCCTCCAAGAATCAGTGTAGTTGAAAGCAAATTGAGAAAAGAGTTACTACAAAATTTACTGAAAATGTCATTGATTCCAAGAATGTTCGGCGATCGACGAAGCAGCGTCTTTGATCCATTCTCAATCGACCTATGGGATCCCTTCAGGGAATTGGGCTTTCCAGGATCCAATTCACGGGAGACTTCTGCATTCGCTCACACACGAGTCGATTGGAAGGAAACTCCGGAGGCTCATGTGTTCAAGGCCGATCTCCCTGGGCTTAAGAAGGAGGAAGTGAAAGTCGAGATCGAAGACGATAGGGTTCTTCAAATCAGCGGAGAGAGGAATGTGGAGAAAGAAGATAAGAATGATACTTGGCACCGTGTGGAACGCAGCAGCGGCAAATTCATGAGAAGATTCAGGCTCCCCGAGAATGCGAAAATGGATCAAGTTAAGGCGGCGATAGAGAATGGAGTGCTGACTGTTACTGTTCCGAAAGAAGAGGTGAAGAAGCCTGATGTCAAATCCATTGAGATCACTGGTTAGGTGCTATAATTTAGAATAAAGATATGTACATGTTGTTGGGAATAAACCTCTTGCCAAAATAATATTCACGGTAATAAAGCGGAATAATAATGTAGCACCGAGATACGGTAATTAATAAAAATAAAAGAGTAACAATGACACCAAGATTTTTACGTGGAAAACCCTTATGAATAAGGGAAAAAACCACGACCCCGAGAGGAGCAACTGATATCACTATAGTAAGGAATTTTACACTTTGTAGGTCGGAGATAAATACTCCAAAGACCACTACAACACTCAAAAGAAATAACCCTCTTTTGATATTCCCACCTCACTACAATATCGCTCACTCTCTATTTTCCTCACAGACTATTTTCTTATACCTTGTCTGTGAAACCTCACTCTTTCTTTCTCTCTTTGTTGGTGTGAAGAAATGAGAGTTGAAGCTCTCCTTTTATAGCCAAAGCTTCACCCTCTAAAGCCTACAATATTTGACAATTTACACACACTTTTCACAATTCAACAAAGTTGGCTACCAAACCAAACTAATTCAACAAGGTTGGCTACCAACCAAACCAAGTCAACAAGGTTGGCTACCAAACCAAAGAAAACTCTTATTAGGCACATGCCTAATACTTCTTCAATGAGATGGACATCATCAATCTCCCCCTCCAGTCTCATTCATCTAGAGGAGGTAGCACTGTCTTCTAGTTTGAGTGCATGCCGACAAGTTCTTTGCATAGCTCGAACTTGTTCCTTGGTACCACCTTGGTCAGCATATCTGCGGGATTCTCATTTGTAGAAATCTTCAAGACTTTTAGAGATTCATCATCTACCATTTCTCGAATCCAATGATATCTCACATCAATGTGTTTGGTCCTTGCATGGTACATAGAGTTCTTGCTAAGGTCTATTGCACTTTGACTGTCACAATAGACGACATACTCCTTCTGATGCAATCCAAGCTCTTGAAGGAATCGCTTGAGCCATATCATCTCCTTGCCAGTTTCTGTAGCGGCAATGTACTCTGCTTCAGTTGTTGAAAGTGCAACGCACTTCTGCAACTTAGACTGCCATGATATAGCTCCCCCTGAAAATGTAAACAAATATCCAGTAGTAGATTTTCTGTTGTCAATGTCACCTGCCATATCAGCATCTGTATAGCCCTTCAAGATTGGATCAGATCCTCCAAAGCACAAACAATCTCCCGTGGTACCTCTCAGGTACCTGAGTATCCACTTGACTGCTTCCCAATGTTCCTTTCCAGGATTTTCAAGAAACCTGCTGACAACACCAACTGCGTGAGCAATATCAGGTCTAGTACATACCATTGCATACATCAAGCTTCCGACTGCTGAAGAATAAGGAACTTTAGCCATGTTCCCTTTCTCCTCCACTGTTGTAGGACACATCTTCTTACTCAACTTTAGATGACCAGCAAGAGGTGTGCTGACTGGCTTAGCATTCTTCATGTTGAAGCGTTCTAGTACACGTTCAATGTACTTCTCCTGAGATAGCCACAACTTTCTACTTGTTCTCTCTCGAACTATCTTCATCCCTAGAATTTGTTGTGCTGGGCCCAAGTCCTTCATATCAAATGACTTGGACAGATCTCCTTTCAACTTTGCTATCAACCCCTTGTCTTTTCCTACAATTAACATGTCATCCACATACAACAACAATATAATAAAGTTATTCTCAGAAAATCTTTTGAAGTATACACATGGATCAGAATAGGTCTTTAGGTATGTTTGACTTTTCATGAATGAATCAAACTTCATGTACCACTGCCTTGGTGCCTGCTTCAATCCATAAAGACTCTTATTCAATTTGCACACCATGTGTTTCTTTCCAGCTACTTCAAATCCTTCTGGTTGCTCCATATAAATCTCCTCTTCCAAATCTCCATGAAGAAATGCAGTTTTCACATCCAACTGCTCCACTTCAAGATCTAGGCTAGCTGCTAAGCTCAAAATTGTTCGAATAGAAGTCATTTTAACAACGGGGGAGAAAATTTCGTCAAAATCAATACCTTTCTTCTGTTCGAAGCCTTTAACCACCAATCGAGCTTTGTATCTGACCAGCTTGCCATCTCCATCTTTCTTGAGTTTAAAGACCCATTTGCATTTGAGTGGTCTTTTACCCTTTGGAAGTTCAACCAGCTTGTATGTGCCATTTTTCTGGAGAGATTCCATCTCTTCTTGCATAGCTTTCATCCACTGGTTCTTTTCTGGATGGGACAACACCTCCTTAAGACTTTCTGGCTCCCCCTCATCACTGATGAGGACATACTCTGTGGAAGGGTACCTGCGTGACTCTACCCTTGGCCTCTCTGATCTCCTCAGAGGTTGAGGTTGTTCTTCTCCCTGAGTGGGGTGCTCCACTTCCTCGACACCTTCATCAAGTTGCTCCCCCTGCTCAATAACCTCACCAGGTTGCTCCCCCTGCTCGGCAACCTCGTCGGTCGTACTTTCTGCACTTGTGGGATTGTTAGAAGTAGAAGGAATAGTAACAAAGTTAGGAATTATACCATTCTTCGCCTTTTCTGACATATCAGCAGCAGTTCCAACTTCACTTTCTCGGAAGACTACATCTCTACTTCTGATGACCTTCTTCTTTACAGGATCCCACAGTCTGTACCCGAACTCTTCATCTCCATATCCGATAAATATGCAGGGAATAGATTTATCATCCAGCTTTGTTCTCTGCTCTTTTGGTACATGTGCAAAAGCTCTGCAACCGAACACCTTCAGATGCGAGTAGGACACCTCCTTGTTGGTCCAGACTCTCTCTGGGATTTCAAACGCCAACGGAACTGATGGACTCCTATTGATCAGGTAACAGGCTGTCTGAACTGCTTCACCCCAGAATGACTTAGGCAGTTTAGCCATTCTGAGCATGCTTCTCACCTTCTCCACAATGGTGCGGTTCATCCTCTCGGCTACGCCATTGTGCTGTGGGGTTCCAGGAACTGTCTTTTCATGTCTGATCCCATGACTTGAACAATACTCTTCAAATTCCCTTGAAGTGTACTCACCTCCATTGTCACTTCGGAGACGCTTTAGCTTTCGACCCGTCTCCCTTTCTACTAGAGCATGAAACTTCTGGAAAACTTGAAACACCTGATCTTTGGTTTTCAAAATATAAACCCATAATTTTCGTGAAGCATCATCAATAAAAGTAACAAAATATTTGTTACCGCCCATTGATTCAATTTCCATTGGGCCGCAAACATCAGAATATACTAAATCAAGTATATTCAATTTTCTTTCAGACGATGTCTGAAATGAGACTCTATGCTGCTTACCAAATAAACAGTAGTCACAAGGTTTTACAGTTGTACCTTTGGCATAAGAAATGAGTGATTTCTTGGCAAGAATCTGCAATCCCTTCTCGCTCATATGACCCATTCTTTTGTGCCATAAATCTACAGAAATCTCATCTTGTGCCGCGTTCAATTCACCTTGGCATATTTCTGCATTTGTCCTGTACAACGTGCCACGAGCAACTCCCTTTGCAATCACCAATGATCCCTTAGTGAGTCTCCACTTTTGATTTGCAAAATAACTCTCGTATCCATCTCGGTCTAAAGCAATTCCCGAGATCAAGTTCATCCGCAAATCAGGTACATGCCGCACATCCTTTAGAACCAATGTGCATCCGACATTTGTCTTGATACAAATGTCACCAATCCCCGCAATCTTTGAGTAACTTGTGTTACCCATTTTCACTGTGCCGAAATCACCTGCTACATATCTGCAAAAAAGATCTCTTACCGGTGTGGCATGGTGAGATGCCGCTGTGTCAACCACCCATTCCGACTCTGGACCTGACAGGTGCATGCATTCCTCTTCCTCATTTATAAAGAGGACAACATTATCATTATTTTGCACCATGGCGGCTGTGTTGTCGTCATTCTTCTGGCCACTGGTTTCACCTTTGCCCTTCCTTGGATTTGGGCAATCTCTTTTGAAGTGACCTGGTTGATTACAGTTGTAGCAATTTCTGACTCTTGATTTGGATCGGTTCTTTGACTTCCCACGAGCTCCGGATCTACCATAGTTGTTCGAACTCCTTTGATAACTCCTGCCTCTACCTTCTGTGATGAGAGCCTGTCCTTGATTTTCAGGCTTCTTTCTCATCTTCTCATTGAGTAGAAGAGCCGATGTGACATCTTTCAACTCAATAGTAGTCTTACCGTGCAGGATGGTTGTTGCCAAGTTATCGTACGAAGATGGCAACGAGTTCAATAGCAAGATGGCTTTATCTTCTTCCTCGATTTTCACTCCGAGGTTGGCAAGCTGTGTGATTAGTCCGTTAAACACATTTAAATGTGACAAAAAATTCGTACCTTCACTCATGTGTAGGGCGTATAACTGCTTCTTCAGGTACAATTTATTTGTCAGCGTTTTGGACATGTATAGGCTTTCCAACCTTGTCCAAATTCCACGTGCAGTGTCTTCATCAATGATGTTATTTACCACATCATCTGATAAGTGCAACCTGATTGCACTAGCAGCTCTTTCATCCAAGTCAGCCCAATCCTCAGCTTTCATGGTATCAGGCTTTTTGGAATCAACATCTAGAACCTTGTGTAATCCTTGTTGGATGAGCAGATCTCTCATCCTTCTTTGCCATGTTGAGAAACCGTTATCTCCGTTGAATTTTGCTACCTCGTACTTTACTCCGGACATTTTTATTTTTCACCAAGTATAGTACTACCGACAGTGAATAGTATTTCAGTGAACGAGCAGAACCTGTGCTCTGATACCCGTTGTTGGGAATAAACCCCTTACCAAAATAATATTCACGGTAATAAAGCGGAATAATAATGTAGCACCGAGATACGGTAATTAACAAGAATAAAAGAGTAACAATGACACCAAGATTTTTACGTGGAAAACCCTTCTGAATAAAGGGAAAAAAACCACGACCCCGAGAGGAGCAACTGATATCACTATAGTAAGGAATTTTACACTTTGTAGGTCGGAGGTAAATACTCCAAAGACCACTACAACACTCAAAAGAAATAACCCTCTTTTGATATTCCCACCTCACTACAATATCGCTCACTCTCTATTTTCCTCACAGACTATTTTCTTATACCTTGTCTGTGAAACCTCACTCTTTCTTTCTCTCTTTGTTGGTGTGAAGAAATGAGAGTTGAAGCTCTCCTTTTATAGCCAAAGCTTCACCCTCTAAAGCCTACAATATTTGACAATTTACACACACTTTTCACAATTCAACAAGGTTGGCTACCAAACCAAACTAATTCAACAAGGTTGGCTACCAACCAAACCAAGTCAACAAGGTTGGCTACCAAACCAAAGAAAACTCTTATTAGGCACATGCCTAATACTTCTTCAATGAGATGGACATCATCACATATCCTATCAAGTGCTCTAGAAAATATGGGCAAGTATGAATGAAGAATGTAGGCGTGTATTGTTGAGGATTGGAAGTTGCTCTGTTTCTGTATCTTGTCCTAGGTCGATTCTGTTTCTTGGCCTAATACCGCGTTTGATGTATTTCCGTAAAAACATTATGTGGAAAATGTAATAGTAATGTAGTTTTATTATAATTGTTTCTGCGCGTACCTCCCATATTCTTTTTCTTGTTCTTCTTTTGTTTTTTGTAGCCAATCCCACGGTGGATTCGCAATTGAAACAAGAAAGAAAAATGAAAGAAAGAGAGAAAATTAAAAGATAAAAATTCAGATTTTCAATTCAAGACACTTCTTACAATACCCTATAAGTGAATATAAAGAAGACTAATAAATGGAGTTCACTAATAATTCTAATTCTTAAAGGACTACTATTTAAATACTTAAAGTTCCTAAAGGTCCAAAACTTGACATTCCACCCTCCTTTAAATCAACCTTGTCCTCAAGGTTGAAAATGAAAATCTAGAAATGGAGAACTAAATCAACACCCACATGTGCTCGGACTTTGAAAATTGCCTATTGGTAGAAACTAAAATTCCTCTATAGGCTCTATTTCTCATCAATGCTCCATCGACTCTTAATGCTAAAATACATTTTATATGTAGCAGAAGTATAACCAAGAATACTACTGTCACGACCCCAAATACCGGTCGTGATGGCGTCTATCACATTACTAGGCAAACTGGACCAATTATAAACCACATCCCATTTTCATTGTAAATAAGTCATTTGCTAACACGGTTTAATTACCAATTATCATAATAAGTGTTTAAAACAGCAGGATAGATATGCGAAAGTCATCAAGACATATGAATTACACAACCCACACTCTGAACAACATACTACATAGATAGTTTAGGAATGCGGAAAAGTAATAAGATAGAAGGGAGAAATCAGGGCTGCGGACGCCATGCAACTACCTCGAAATCCCCGGCAATTGTTGAACGACTGAAAGCTCTCACTCGACCTCGGGGCACCTGGATCTGCACGCAAGGTGTAGGGAGTAATGTGAGTACTCCGACCAAGTGAGTAATAAAGATAAATAATGACTGAAAGTAAGAAAACACGTATACACAAGGTATTCTATAATGAATCAATTTAAATAGGTAATCTGTAAGCAGTAAACCAATGAAAAGCAAAATAAAGTACTTCTACAACAAATAAACAGGTAATTGACAGACAGTTATGATAAAGTAAACACATATAAGTTCACCCCTCGGGTACAGTATCAATAATTTTTGCCCCTCGGGCTCAATCTCACATCACAATGGGTATCCCCGCTCACTGGGGATGTGCAGACTACGGGAGGGGCCCCTTACGGCCCAAGCGCAATATCAAGCCATCACGTGGCATCAAATCTAGGCCATCGGCCTCATATCAATCAAGCCACCTCGTAGCGTATATATGTATCTCAGGCCCTCGGCCTCATATCAGTACCAGTGTATCCTCACGACTAGGCCCTCGGCCTTACTTAGTCCAAAAATCATCACAAGCCCCTCGAGCAATAGTAAAACAGTATCTCTCAACCCAAAACATCATTTAAAATATCATTTAAGTCTCAAAACTGAGTAAAAATGGATGAGTAGTAGAACGGTGGAAAATAACGGGACTGAGTTCAAGTAATAAGTCAAAACAGTGAGGAAATGGTAATAAAAATTCCTGAAGGGTTCAAATAGTTGGCACAAAACCCAAATATAGCAATCAGCCCAAATCATGATGATAGCAAATAAGTTTCAGCCAAATACATGGTAAAATCATCAATCGAGACAAACCAAGTCACAATCTCCAATAGTGCACGACCCCACCCTCATCATCAAGCGTGTGTCTCACCTCAATATAGCACAACGATGTGCAATCCGGGGTTTCAAACACTCAGGACATCATTTACAATCATTACTCACCTCGAACCGGCTAACTCTCTAGCTCGCGATGCCTTTGACCCTCGAATTGGCCTCCACGCGCGTTGAATCTAACTAAAATTAGAACGAATACGTCATAATATGCTAAGGGAACAAAGCCCAAGCGAGAACAATCGAAAAATACCAAAAATCCCGAAATTAGCAAAACCCGAGCCCCGAGCCCACTTCTCGAAACTCAGAAATTTTCACATCATTAGATTCCTCGTCTCCTCACGAGTTCATACATATCAAAAACACAAGAATCAGAGCTCAAATGACCCCTCAAATCCTCAATTTAAGCCCTCTTAAACTCAAGCCCTAAACGTCCATTTTTAGTCCTTCAATTCCTTAAAGTTTAGTCCCAATCCATGAAATATTACCATAAAAGTGTGTTTTAGGTCCAAAATCCTTACCTCAACGACGTTATCTTGAAATCTCCCTTTAAAATTGCCCAAAAGCTCTCAATCCGAAGTTAAAATGGTTAAACCCTTCAAAAATCGCGAAGAAAGAATATATATACATTCTGCCCAGGGGTTTTCGCATCTGCGACCCCTCCACCGCTTCTGCGGTACCGCATTTGCGGTCACAAGTCCGCTTCTGCGGAACTCACTTAACCAGCCCAAATCCGCTCCTGCGATCGCCCTTCCGCATCTGCGATTTCGCAGATGCGGCCGAAAATTCCGCTTTTGCGATTTCGCAGATGCGGCCCAAAATTCCGCTTTTGCGGTTCCTGACCCTCAGCCCAAATCTCGCATCTGCGATAGAAATTCCGCATCTGCGGCTTCGCAGATGCGGCCACCTTGACCGCTTCTGCAAAAACTGCTCGCCAAACTAACTTTCGCATCTACGGCCTTCCCCCTCGCACGTGCGGCACCGCACCTGCAGTCCCCAAACCGCAGGTGCGAAAACATCAGAAGCAGCAATATCAGTTGCTGCAACCAAATTCCAAATTCTCCGATAACCACCCGAAATGATCCTGAGGCCCCCGGGACCTCAACCAAAAGCACAAACATAACCTGATACCTTATTCAAACTTGTTCCAATCATCAAAACACCTCAAACAACATCAAATCTACCAAATCACATCGAATTCAAGCCTAAGTTTCTAAAATCTTCTGAAATACGCTTTTGATCAAAAACCCAACCAAACCATGTCTGAATGACCTGAAATTTTGCACACACATCCCAAATGACCTAACGAAGCTATTGCAACTCTCGGAATTCCATTTCGACCCCTATATCAAAATCTCGCCTATCAACCGGAAATCGCCAAAATATCAACTTCGCCAATTCAAGCCTAATTCTACTCCGGACCTCTAAAACCAATTCCGATCATGCTCCTAAGCCATAAATCACCTTCCGAAACTAACTGAACCATCGGAACTCACATACGAGCTCTCTAACACATAAGTCAACATCTGGTTGACTTTTCCAACTTAAACCTTCTTAAAAGAGACTAAGTGTCTCATTTCTTATCAAATCCTCTCCCAACTCAAAATGATCAATCCGATCACATAAAATACGGATAACGAAGCATAAAGAAGCAGAAATGGGAAAAACGGAGCGGTAACTCATTAGACGACTGGCCGGGTTGTCACAACTACCACCAAATCACAAGTAGCTATTGTGATGACTAATTGTTTCTGAAGAACCTCCCTAACTGATGTAGCACAAGTGTCTCCTACATGATGATAAATAAAGCTGGTGCATCACAAATGTCTCCTATATGATGATGAATAAAACTGGTTCCAATAACTCCTCTTGTAGAATGTACCAGCTCCACCCTTAAGTTATCAACTTGGCCAAAGTATAGCAAATTCTCATATTCTTGTCCAGTTGGTCTCGTTATGCTTATGGAGCCAAAATGTTTCTTAGCAATGGATGAGATTACTACAACTTGAATCTTGTGCAAATTTCAAGCATATAGTAATCGATTTTGTGTATAGCCGCCAAGATGAATGATAGAATAATTGGTGCTATCCATGGAACTTTCCATGAAGTTTCAAACATAGGTTTAAGACCAATGAGTATTGCAAAAAGATCTTTTAAAGACTCTGCTGAAAAGATTTGCTTTGAAACATAAAAGACCAATGCATCTATAGGTTGAAGGTAGCTAGCACTAGAACAAGATCCGTCTTCCTTGGACAAAATATTGGTATTAATATCTCTTCCACCAGGATCTCATAAGAAAATGCTCATCTCGTTCCTGTTATGTTCTTCTCCCAGCTCTAATGACATTTTCAGCAAACTTAGAGCTAAAACTTTGAAAATCACTGCATATACTGGAAGTAGATCACCAATAACTAGCTGGAAAAATAACAGAATCGTCACCAAGCTAGGTGTACTTTCACTATCAAATAACATACACACTTCACCCTCAAGGTACAAATAGTTTGAAATGCACCAGAGAACAAAAGCTAACTCTCCCTCCATAGACATTCCTTCAAATAAAACAGGGGTTGATGATAATATTGCTCCACCAGAAAAAGAACAAAGTCCAGGAGTAGAGCACAAGTTTGCTCGACTTGTATAAACCATCAAGTATGAAGGGCTCTCAGTACAACTGAACGGATATTACGAGTATCTAATCACCTCAGTTAAAATCCAATCAAAAAACCTTAATAGTAAAGGCAATCTATGTACCTCAAGAATTGCATAAACCAAGGCTGATAGAAGGCGATCTCTTCCACCCCATTGCTCGATAGGAAGTAATACACTTTTTGCAACAATCCCTACAGTTACATGAGTAACTTCCAAGAATGTGCAACTTTCCGGTAACCACATTTCTTCTCTTGCATGAGCATTCTTCTGAAAACAATTAGGCGCCTTTGTCTTCCATTTTCCATTATAGAGATCCACTCTGTAACACATTCTATAATAGAAACCCAATTTGCTGCAGTACCACCGCTTGAGACCTTTGATGGCACTAACATTATTTTTTCCTGAACAAACTTGACATCAGTGCACAAAGCTTTCTTAGGGCCATTAAGAGAACACGAAGTAAGGAGTGGGACTTTCTTATATAACACAATAGGCAATTCAAAATGAACATTAGTTGGAGATAAACTGAAGATGTGCTTGAGTTTGACTGACAGGGATGGTACAAGCAGAACAATATTTTTCACATTTCCTATGAAGTAAACCAGGTGTACATCTCTAGACTTATTTCCTTTGTGCAAAGGAGAAATTAGCTTTCCTATTTTCTTAGCAACTAGAAACATATCATCACTTAGCATCTTTTCGAGAAAAGTAGAAGCCCGGTCATAAATTGAACGCCTACAAAGAGCCAATCTTGAAAGCAGAGCAATCAATTCATTGAAAATCTTAATACTTAGGATCTCATTATCCTCCACCAAATTCCAAAAAGCATAAGCATCCCCACATTCCATACAAATTACGGTAACCAACAACTCTATTGCTCTCCTCGTCCATGAAAACTGGGTTTCGTCAAAATACATTTGAATAAGGAAATTACCCTGGGAACATAGGGTGTCTCCAGCATTCTAACAAGCTCCTCAATCAAGTACAACATGATTTCCTCCAGACTAGACTGTCTAGATCTATGAACAATACAATTACTCTACAACAGGGACCAAATACCCTCCAATTTTTCCAAATTTACTTCAATTACTTCCTCCTCTTTTTATCATCTTCCACTACAACCTCATTATCTCGAAAATCATAACTATTGTTATTTGCAATGTTATTCTCAATTTCAACAAAGACAGAGGAACTTCTATTGGAATCCAATGAAATAGCTCCAAAATTATCCCTTTGATGCCGACAAACTCAATAGAGACATCTCCCCTACTTTCAATGTTTTTCTCATCTTCATGTTTTCCAGAATCCACCATTTCGAAGATGAATGAAGGATTGAGATAATGATAATCATCCCATGACATTTCATTCCCAAGAACAAAATGCTTGGCCTCTAAATGACCATTGTTAGAATTGAGATCAATGTCATCTGGAACTTAAAACGCTACAATCCCATCCCAATTTTAACCAAGTGACAATACATTGGGATTAAACAGAACATAACAAAAAATGTTACTGATTGAAATTGATTCATCACTAGGCTTCAGTATGTTATCTAGGAACAAATAACCTATTTTCTCATTGCTCACTTCTTCCATTTCTTTTGTGGACTGAAGTTCACCCAAAAATGCAGTTTCTTCCTGCTGGAGAAATTCATCAAACACCTGATCCACGTTATTTTCTGAATTTTCCTTGATCTCTCATATGTTTGTATCTTATCTTCACCATCACAGAAAAATCACCAAAAATAATTTTAGATTGTAGTTCTTCCTTAAAAATTGGACCGTTAACATCCATTTCACAAACATAGAATGAAGCATCAAATTTCTGGAACCACTGCAACTGTGTAAAACTATATTGAAACATGCCACTTGTTTTGTTACATTGAGGACTTTCATCAAACACCTTGTTCCCATATTTTCAGAAGTTTTCTCATTTCTTCTTACTAACCCAAGTTCAACCCCTCCAGTTTTATCTTGTTGAGGACTTTTGTCGATCATATGATTGCCGCTGCTACCCAAAACTATAGCATTTTCATCATCAGATTTCAATGGTGGTCCATCATCAAGATCGTGGCAAGTGAGGTCAAACGATACCACAGATGAAGGAAAAATAACAGATTCACTAGAACTATTTTTTGTTAAATCAAGTGTTACATTGGTGTCTAGTTCAAAAGTGCTCGTGTTGAGCAAGCAAGTAGACTCTATCAAAGCCGTTGAAACTGGGGAACCTCCATTAAACTCGATATTAGGGGAATCTAGAGAAGTGGTAGTCCATTTTCGATAGGCTTCACCCTCACTCCGAAATTGCTCTGACCGTCGAATGTTCTCTCGCACCAACGAGAGAATTTCATCAAAAATAGACTGTTCATTGCTGATTAGCCTAGGTTAAGTTGAAATATATTTCTCAATCTCACCATCATGAACCTAGTATGGATTATATGAATCATGTGAATAGATATGGAAATACTGATTTTGGTAACTCCATGAAAGCTGCTCGGAACTTGAGCATGGAAGAAATGGGTCTGCTCCTTCGTAGGAATTTTGCGTATGGGAGTAATAGTGAATAAGCAATGTGGAATTGGGTCCGAGAAACGTCGGTTCTGATACCAATTATAGCGAATCCCACGATGGATTCGCCATTTGTTAAGACCCGGCCGGTCGTTTCATGAGTTATCACTCTGTTTCCCTCATTTCTACTTCTTTATGCCTTATTCAGCTGTATTATATGTTATCATATTGGTTAGTTTGTGTTCAGAGTGGTTTGATAGAGAAATAAGACACTTAGTCTCTTAAGTTGGCCTTTTGTTGGAAAAGTCAATCGGAAGTTGACTTGTGAGTAAACGATCTAGGAATCAGGTTTTTATGATTCAAATAGATTTGTGAGGTTATTTGGGACTTAGGAGCGTGATCGGAATGTAATTTGGAGGTCTGGAGTAGATTTAGGCTTGAATTGGCGAAATTAGAATTTTGGCATTTTCCGGCTGGTAGTGGAGATTTTGATATAGGGGTCGGAATGGAATTCCGAAAATTGGAGTAGGTCCGTGGTGTCATTTCATACGTGTGTGAAAATTTTTAGGTCATTCGGACTAGGTTTGGTAGACTTTTAGATCAAAAGCAGAATTCGGAAGTTTTTGGAATCCTTAGGCTTGGATCAGAGGGTACTTTGATGATTCGATGTTGTTTTGGGTGTTTCAAAGATTGTTATAAGTTTGAATAATGGTATGTGACTTGCTAGTACCTTTGGTTGAGGTCCCGGGGGCCTCGGGGTGATTTCGGATGGTTGACGGGAAGTTGAGAGTTATAATTGTGCAGCTGAAGCTGCTGATTTTGTTGTCATAACCGCACTTGTGGATTGGGGACCGCAGGTGCGGGATCAAAGAAGCGGAAGAGAAGACGCAGATGTGGCCCTAGGCAAGGATGGTTAGAAGGCACATGTGCGGAAGGCTCAGCACACCTGCGAGACCGCAGGTGCGGAAGGATATGCGCAGGTGCGACGTAGGGAGTTTAAGTGAAAACCGCAGAAAGGGTTGTTTGTCCGCAGAAGCGGTACCGCATGTGCGGTAAAAGGACCGCAGGTGCAAAAACCCTGGGTCAAAAAGTATATAAGTCCTCCTTCGCGAATTTTTGGTTATTCCACCATTTTCGCATACGGGTTTGAGCTTGGGAGAGCAAATTGAAGAGGGAATTCAAGAGGGTTTCGTGGAGGTAAGGTTTTTGGACCCTAAAGTTGTTTCTATGATGGTTTTTAACTGTTTAAACTTGAAATTTGTGGTAATTATTGGTTAAAATTGGGGGCTTAGGGCTTGAAAATTGGAGACCTAAATTTAGGGATTTGAGGGGTCATTCGTGGTCGAATATTGGTATTCTTGGTATGTATGGACTCGTGGGAGGATAAGGATCCTATTTTGGGATTTTTGATGTAATTTGAATATTTTCGCATGTGCTTCGTTCCCTTAGCGTATATTGATGTTATGATTCTGTTTTTGGATAGATTCGACGCGAGTTGAGGCCGAGTCGAGAGTCAAGGGCGTCGCGGAGTAGTATTTCATCTGGTTTGAGGTATATAACCATTGTAAATCTGGACCTGAGGGTATGAAACCCCCATATTTCGTATTATTTTGATAAATAAGGTGACGTGCATGCTATGTAACGAGCGTGTGAGTGTGCACTGGTAGGGATTGTGACTTGGTCTGTACCGTAACGACTATTAAGTCACGTATTTGATTTGAAATCTTATGATATCTCGTATTTTAGAGATTGATACTATGTGTTGGGCTGTACGCCGTGTTTGGGGCCTTGTGCCGACCTGTTTAGACCCTTAGGGGTATTTTTACTACTTTCCTCACTCTGTTTGATTTGAAAGTATATCCTCAGTCATGTTTTACCTGTTATTTATTTAAAACCGGTTTCACCACTCTTTTTCTTAATATATGAAAACTGTTTGTGCGGAGTTCCCTGATTTTTCATTGATAAGCCCGAGTGGCCGTGAGGTTAATGACTGAGAGAGGTTTAGGACCTAATGGTAATGATTATATATCTATTATGGATCGGGCAGCACGCCGCATCGATATTATATATATAGATCAGGCTGCACACCGTAACGATATACATATGGATCGGGCTACATGCCGCAGCGATATATATTGGATCGGGGCGCGCCGCAACGATATGACGCTTGGGCTGTAGGAGCCCCTCTGGAGTCTGTACACCCCCAGTGAGCGTAGTCGACTATAAACTCTGGATCGGGCTGCACACCGCAACAGTTATTATGATTCTTATTTTTATGAGATATTATTGAGTCGGAGTGCTGAGTGTGAGTATTGTTTGACAAGAGCTAAGTCACGAGTGACTGAGAGGCTTGCCCGAGAGACTATATTTATGAGTGATACCTTGCCCGAGGGGCTTGTTTATGACTTTTGTTACTTTCGCTCTTCTTTCATACTGAGCCTCTGTTGAAAAATGTTCGATAAATGTTTCCAAAGGATTTTTAATTGAAACTAAAGTTTTACGAGATGACTGGCTTTTAAATTGCAGAATTTGACTTGATATTTCTGTTGAGACTTATTATATGATTTTAACTGCACGTCACTGCACTCAGACCTTATTTACTTTAGTTATTTACTGAGTTGGTGTACTCACGTTACTCTCGCACCTTGTGTGTAGATCCAAGTTCCTGAGCATCCGAGTGAGAGCTTCCAGCACTCCCAGGGTTTATCCGGAGATCGCAAGGTAGCTGTACGGCGTGCGCAACCCCGCCTTCCTCCTTCCTATTTTAGTATTTTGTTATTTCAGACTTATTTTGTATTATTCAGACAGTGTCTTGGTTGTATTTAGAGGCTCATGAATAGTGACACTGGATTGTTGGGCTGTGTTGGTATATATTTGTACTAATTTCCGCATATTTCCGTTGATTTATATATTTCATATGAGAATTTGAACTTAAACGATTTTAGATAATGCTTTTATAAAAAGAATTTACTCTGGTTAAATGTTGGGTTGGCTTGCCTAGTACTATGATAGGTGCCACCACGACCGAGGTATTTGGGCTCGTAACACCATTGAAACATGAAAGAAAAATGAAAGAAAGAGAAAGAAAATTAAAAGATAAAATTTAGATCTTCATTCAAGACATTTCTTACAATACCCTACTAGTGAATATAGAGAAGACTAATAAAAGGAGTACACTAATAATTCTAATTCTTGCAAATACTTAAAGTTCCTAAAGGCCCAAAACGTGACATTTTTCTTTCTAAATAGCATAGAGAGTTAGAAGATTAAAGTTTTCTCAATCAATTCTTGCCATTTAATTTTCAAAAAACTGCGACATTGAACAATAATTCTGTTAACCAGTTGATGATTCAACATTGAAAGTTTGAAACCTATTAGGATCGATATTATCCTTTTATTGGGAGAACAAGAAACTGTAATACAGACTGTAATACTAACTTGAAAATCTGAGCTTCTGGAGTTACTCTTCTCAGCTAGTTTCAGACTTGTTTTATGTCATTATCATATAACGAATTATTTGTTCACTTTGAGTACGTAGTGCAAAATTTCATCCAACCTTGATTATAATGTCCTTACTTTTTAGAATTCAAGAGCAGGGAGAGGTTACTATCTAATCATGTTTATAGAGTCGTTTAGTCTTTAATTAGAGCCACTAGTTGTATGCCATGTCCCTCTTAACTAATACGCCTCCAAAGAAATCAAAGATTGCCTTTGGGGACTAAAAACAAACATATATAGCACTCTCTAATTTGACAAATGATTTTTTTGTTTAGTTTCGGGTCTGATATTTGGATTCGCATCGGCAAGTCTCATATTTCGGATACGTGTTTTCTAACAAAGACGACTGCATACTCTGAGTTTGAATGCAATTTTTGGTTTAGGATGAAAGGGTTATTAGTACTCCCCTGCAATTCTAATTAGTATTTGACAAATTTAATAGAGTTGTACAGGTACTATCTCTTCCATTTAATGGATTATTATATGCCGTGGAAGCAATTCCAGTATCAAAATTACATGTAATCTAGACAATTTGTAAAAAATGGGATTTCACGGGTTACTTCTTGAAGCGTGAATAAAGCTCCTCTATCTCGTGAGCCTCCAATTCCACAACAACTCAATGAAATCACCATTATGATCAGCACGATCACGATTCTCGAATGTTCCACGGGCTTCTACTGTGTTACCCAAATAATATCCGAAAATAGTGATTTCGTGTGGACGAAATTTCTAGGAAAATTTGGCTGAAATTTTCGGCCATCTTGTGCTCCTATCTCTAGGTGGAAAACCTTATGTATTTATAGCACACGTTTTAAGGGTTAAAACTGTGATGACCCGACCAGTCGTCTCATGAATTACCGCTCCGTTTTTTCCATTTCTGCTTCTTTATGCTTTGTTCATCTGTATTTTGTGGTATCGGGTTGGTCGGATCGAATCCGGAATGATTTTGGTAAGATTTGAGACACTTAGTCTCCTTTAAGAAAGTTTAATTTGGAAAAGTCAACCGGATGTTGACTTCTGTGTTAGCGGGCTCAGATGTGAGTTTTGCTAGTTCGGTTAGCTTCGGGAGGTGATTTGGGACTTAGGAGTGCGATTGGAATAGGTTTTCGAGGTCTGGAGTAGATTTAGGCTTGAATTGGCGAAGTTGATATTTTGGCGATTTCTGGTTAGTAGGCTAAATTTTGATATAGGGGTCGGAATGGAATTTCGAGAGTTGCAGTAGTTCCGTTGTGTCATTTGGGATGTGTGTGCAAAATTTCAGGTCATTCGGACGTGGTTTGGTTGGGTTTTTGATCAAAAGCGAAATTCGGAAGATTTTAGAAAGTTTGGCTTGAATCCGATGTTTTTTGGGTGATTTGATATTGTTTGAGGTATTTTGATGATTGGAACAAGTTTGAATAACGTATTAGGATATGTTAGTGCTTTTGGTAGAGGTCCCGGGGGCCTCGGGAAGATTTCGGATGGTTGACGGGAAGTTTGGATTGTTGTTGCAGCTCCTGAATTGCTTCTTCTGGTATTTTCGCACCTGCGGATTGGGGACCGCAGATGCGGTGCCGCACGTGCGGGAGATCCATCGCAGAAGCGAAAAAGGGTCAGGTGAGCAGAGACCGCAGA